GGGATGTGGCTGAGTGGTAGAGCACTTACTTTGATTAATTGGGGGTGAGGACGGTGCTGAGCAGAGGTAAGAGCAACAGATGTCCTTCATGATTCCTACTCCTTTGTTAAGGCTCAGCTCAAGTGTCCCTCTCCTGATTCCAATGGCATCTTGGCTGTATCAGTGTACCCATGTTAATTTGTAATTGTTTATGCATAAGCTCTGGGAAGATAGGCACTGCCCCATACCTGTATGCATTTCCAGCCCCTCAGCAGACACTGAGTTCCAGTAGTGTTTGCCATGCAGGGAAGATGGTCACTCATAGGCAGCAAATTCTGTTGTTAAGAGGAAGAAGAGGGATCATCATAAAAGAAAAAGGGAACACATGACAAATGCCCAATGTATCGAGCTCACTGAATTCTCACAACAGCACTTAAAGCAAGCACTACTTTTTCTGTTTTACATACAGAAAGTAAAAGTTTGAGTTTTAAAAGCTCAGGCTATTAATAACTGTCAATCAAAATTGGCACTGAGCTAACATCCATCTAGCTTAGTTCTCAGCTATATTAGCTTTATCTTTCCTTCCCTACATTCTCCTCCTTCTCCTTGTTAGCCATGAATTCTTTTTTTTTTTTTTTTTGGTTGGTCGTGGGGTTTGAACTCTGGGCCTGGGCGCTGTCCCTCAGCTCTTCAGCTCAAGGCGAGCGCTCTACCACTTGAGCTACAGCGCCACTTCTAGTTTTCTGGTGGTTTTTTGGAGATAGGAGTCTCACGGTCTCTCCTGCCCAGGCTGGCTTTGAACCTCGATTCTCAGATATCAGCCTCCTGAGTAGCTAGGATTACAGGCATGAGCCACCAGCGCCCGGCTAGCCATGAATTCTTATCCACACTGGGTCATCTCTTTCCACTTGTTAGTAATGTGAAGGTCTCCACTTCAATTATTATTACTATAGCCACTTATTATCTTTTCTTTGCTTCTCTGTCTATAAATAAAGGGTTGAAGGAGAGCTTCTGTAAAATCCCTTCTAATATCAACATTATAACGTTGTACAAAGCAAACTAAACTGAGTAAAATTAACATGTGATAAGACAGCCTAGGAGGTATTTTTATTCAAGGGTGTTTTCTGATCTCAGTGGGTCTATGAAGGGTTGGGCTGGACTTCTTTCCTGCATTGTTGCCTTGTTTTTCCTTCCCTTTTTGAATATCTGTTATTCCTTCTTTGTTCCACCAGTCGCCCCTCTCTTCCCATCAGCCTTCCCCTTTGCTCTTCGCTTCTCTGGACTGTGCAACTCAGCTTTCATCTTCTTGACCTTTGGTCAACAGAGAAGAGCCTCTTTTCCTTAAGAACAGATCCAGCTCTTCCCATTTGTAAGGCTGTCTTGCCAGGAACCTGTTGAAAGTATTAGCAATTGTAACAGTCTTTAGGTGGTCTGAATTCACTGGAATTCAAGGTAAAGCTAGTCATAGCTGGACTTGGATTTATTTCCCTCTTGCAGGCAAGAACTTCCCAATCCCCAAGGATACAATGTCTCCATGAGTGTGACTCTCAAGCCATTCTGTTCTAGACCTCCTGGTTCCTGAAGCTACCTGGGCTGCCACAGATCTCCCAAATCACAGAATTTACCACCACATCAGACAATCTGAATTTTAAAGTATGTTTTCTATCGGTTGTTCTTGAAAAGTTTCATATGTTCTTATTTCTTGGGCTGGGGCAAAGAGCTTGTTTCTGTAGTCCATTAGAAAGGATTTTATTTGTAGCTATTTTTACCTTGCACAACAGGTAGAGATATTTCCATGAAGAATTCACTAAGATATGTAGCAAATATCCTAGTATTTCTCTTTTATATTTTTCTTTAATACTAGTGATTGAACTCATGACTTCCACTTGCATCATGCCCCTGATCCATTTTTGCTTTGTAGTTTGTTTTCTCTGATACGGGCTTGTACTTTTGCCCAGGCAGCCTCAGATTGGGATCTTCCTACCTTTACCTCCTAAATAGCTAGGATTACAGGCATGAATTTCCATCAACTTTCCTGGGGGTCTGGTTTGGATATGAAGAATCCCTCCAAAGATTTCACGTGGCTCTGGTAGCTTATGCCTGTAATCCTAGCTACTTAAAGGGCTGAGGTCTAAGGACTGTGGTTTGAAGCCAGCCTGGGCAGGAAAGTCCAAGAGATTCTTAGCTCCAATAAACTAGTCAGGAAAAGCTGGAAGTTGTGCAATGGGCTGAAGTGGTAGAGGGCTAGCCTTGAACACAAATAGGGTCAGGGACAGTACCCAGGCCCTGAGTTCAAGTCTAAGGACCAGCTAAACAAAAAACAGGTTCTGTCCCCAGCTAGTGATCCAGTCCTTGAGAGGTGATTTGATCATGAGCCTCTGACCTTATCAGTGCATGAATCCACTGATGGATTGATAATTTAACAGCACTAATGGAGGTGAAGGAAACTTTCTCAGGTGAGGCCTAGATATTCTGTATGTTGTGATCGGCTTCTTGGGCCTGTTCTCTCTGCTTCCTGACCACCATGATGTAAGCAACCTCTGGCCCTCTGCTGTCGGTGATATTTTGCTGATTTCTGACCCAGCTGTGGATCCAGCCAACCAGAACTGAAACACCTGAAACCGAGCCAATAGACTGTTCTCCACTACCCCTCTCCCTTTTTGTTTTTTGGTGTTAATACTGTGGCTTGAACTCAGGACTTAGGCATTGTTCCTTACCATTTTTAATTGTACCTTACCCTTTTTGGTTTACCAATCTTCTCTGACCTGCCCCTCCCTATTTATTTTGGTTTGTTTAAAGAAGGAAGGAATGAAAGTGAATGCATAGATCTAGATCAAGCTCATCCCAAGTTGATACTTTGTATTTTACTTGGCTTACAATGAAGAAAATCCTCAAAGGAAGGAAGCTAAACCAGAAACTTCATAAGGAAAGACTCAAGATCAACTAGTTCCACAGCAAGAGCACTGGTTTTCAATTCATAACTCAGTGAAGGCCAGTGAATTCTATCTGAGAAACTTATTCAAAGCCCTTAATGATTAATCTTTATTGCCTCATAAATTAACTTGTAAATATTATGCCAGCAACAGTTAACTATCCTTTCCACTTTGCTTATGCAAACTAGGAACTCTTCCCCACTGTGTGTAACACAAGGGAATAAAATGTGTAAATAGCAAAAATGCTCAACCCAAGCCACTTCTTTCCAGGTAGGGTTTTTTTTTTTTTTTTTTTGACTAACCCTTTAAGCTTGGAACAGGTTGTTTCAACAGATGTTGTTGCTGTGCAAACTGGAAAAATAGTAAAATAAAGCCAGTGCAAAAATTGTATATGTGAATGGGGATACAATGAAATTTCGACTATTTTCATAGTCTTAAAAACAATGGGGGGGGGGGATTAGGTGGGAGGGAGGTGGGGGAGGGAGGGGATAGTGGGACCACAACAAGGGAAGGGGTAACAATGATCCACAAGTAATGTACTCTTTGCCTTACTCATGCAACTGTGACCCCTCTGTACAGCATCTTTACAATAAAAAAAAAAAGAAAAAACAATGCCAGGAAAGTTTGGTAACACAGGGTGGGGAAGTTTAGCTTAATGATACAGGCTCTTTTTTTTTTTTTTTCCTTTTTAAAATGCTGGTACTGGGACTTGAACTCAAGGCTGGGCATAAAAGTCTTAGAGACTTTCCTGCCTCCTGAGTAAGGTGGAGGATTCCAGGTGAGCCACTGGTTGTAGGATGTAAGAGGTCACAGGTTTGATCTCTGGCAACACACACACACACACACACACACACACACACACACACACACACACACACACACACACACACACACACACACACACACACACACACACACACCTATAACAGGACCAAAGTGGAGATTACCAAGACTGAGAACAATATGTCAAATTAAAATCCTCTTGGATCTAGAACTAGAAATAAGTAATGTGCGCAAGTTGACATCGAGCTTTTCCCAAATCACCCTAAGCAGGGAACCAGTTAGCCTGTCCCAGGTTTTGAGATGAGGCGACGGAAGCGAGGGCTGTGTTTGCAGGCGGCACGGCTCCTCGCGGGCTCACCAGCGGGGAGGCCGCTCCAGCCCCGCGGGCGGGCGGGCGGGCGCGGGCGCGGGCGCGGGCGCGGGCTCGGGCGGGCGGGCGGGCGCGCGAGGAGAGGGCGCCGGGCCTGCGCTGATTGACGGGGCGCGCGGGGTCAGGTGACCAGGGCGGCCACGTTCCCGGACTGGTGCGGGCGGCGGCGGCCCGGGCCAAGCCCTCCGCCCAGGGCGGGGGGAGCTGATCCCTGGGAACAAAGTTGCTGGGCCGCCGAGCCGAAGGGCCGAGAAACGATCGGGGCGCGGGGTGAGGTGGGCGGCGGGCCGCTCGGTCTCCCAGGCCTCCCCCAGCCGAGGAGATCCGAGCCCGGGGACCCCATCCGAGCTCTTCCTGGGGGGGGTGCGGAGGCCCGGCCCCCGCGTCCCGCCTCCCTCCGCGCCCTCGGGCGCTGCGCTCCCACAAAGGGGCGGCGGCGGCGGCGGCGCCCGGGAGGAGGAGGCGGAGGAGGCCGCGGAGGCGGGGCCGGCGCCGCGGCAGCCTCCCGGGCGCACAAAGTTGTGGAGTCGCCGCCTTTCCTCGGAGGAGGAGAGCGGGGCAGCGGGCGGCGGCCGCGGGCTTTCTCCCGCCGCGGGGCGAGGAGGAGCCTCGAGCTCGCGCAGCCCCGTGGAGTGGAGGGGGGCGATCTGATCGCGGGGTGGGGGGTAGAGCGGGGCTCCCCGTTCTTTCGGAGTTAAACTCTGCTGTTGGGGGGCGGCGAGGTGGAAGGCGCGCGCCGGCCCCGGCTAGCGCCCGGACGGTTTTGTTTTTGTCTCCGGCGGAACTCCCCCCCGGGGGGGGGGCAGGAAGATTGCACCGGTCAGGGGGCGTTTCCGATCGGGTGTCAATTCCTCTTCGGCCCGCTCCGGTCCAGTTTTTTTTTCACATTCATTAAAAAAAAAAAAGAAAAAGAAAAAATTAGTCCCTTACCCCAACTCCTCTGACCTCCCAACTCGCGCGCGGGCACCTCCCGGCGGCCGATCGCGGGGCCCCCAACACCGGTGGAGCCCGGGCAGGCGCCCGCAGGCCGGCAGGTAAGCCACAGCGGGTGGAACCGAAGTCCGGGGCTGGGATCGGAGACCTCCGCCCCCCCCCCGCCCCGCCCCGCGCGGGAGCGGGAGGGGGGGAGAAGGGGGCGGTGGGTGGGTGGGTGGGCGGAGTCTGGACCTTTCTGTGTCTCCAGGACCCGGGGGTCGGGGCTGCGGGTGCCTTCTTAAGTTGGGGATGGAATCCACTTCTGCCTCCACTTTCCTTGGAGGCTCAGCTCGGCTCCCCCGGCCGGGATAGAGAATACCCGACGCGTGGGGAGGACTGGGGCGGCCGGGTCCTCGGGATCTCTGCGAGTTCGTGCCGGGGACTCCAGGCAGGATCGTGGACAGGATCGGTGCGGCTGCCTCGGCTCCCTCCACCTCCTCCCCGCCGGGCGGGGTGGAGAGAGGGGCTCGCCCGGGTGCGTCGCGTCGCCAAGTAGGGCGCCGGGCCAGTGATCTCCAACCGGGGACGTGGCCTTCTAGGAGAGCCTGTCACACACCCCGGCCCCGGGAAGGCGGGGCCCGGGCCCTGTCCGCCTGGCGAGGGTGGTAGAGGGTGGCGGTGTGCTCGGCGGGCCGGGGAGCGCTCCCCAGCGCCTGCCTGGAGACGTGTTCGACCCCCGGCCGGGTGGCTGCTCCCCGGGGTGGGGCGATCGGGCGGCCCCCGGACTGCAGCTGGGAGACCGGGTGCCCCGTTGGTGCGTCGTCCCGCGCGATCGCCTGGTTTTCTGGACTCGTGGCTTCTCGGGCTGCACTCGACCAGGTAATTCGTTGCCCCCAGCCTAACTTGGGCTCAAGAGCCGGGGCTCTGGTTGTCCAGGGCCAACTTACCAACCCCACGGAGCTCCGATGGTAAGGCCGTGCAACTTTTTTTGGGGGGAAGGCGCCTTGCTTAAAGACACTTTTCTGGAACGCCCTGGATTCCCAGAGACCCGTTCTGATGAGCTGCTGTTTTCCAGGCGAGGAAAGAAAATGCGCCCGACTCCCGAGGGCTAGCTAGAGAATCTGTTTGGAGAACTCGGTGTCACCGCCGCCCCTACTCCCCGGGGTCAACCCGGGAGAACGCCCAGGTCGCCGGGGTCACCGAGGACCTGGCGGGTGACTTTTCCCGATGGCGCACTTAGGGGTCGGCGTGGCCGGAGCGCCCCGAGCCCGGGCTGGTCTTGGTGGCCGCAGCCGCGTGTGTCGGCGTGGAGCTTGCTGTCGTGGCTGGGGAGTGGGCGCGGGGGTGCTCAGCCTTCGGGCAGGAATCGCAGGAATGCGAATCGCGTGGGTCCTGCAGTTGTAAGCCGCGGGCGGTGAGGGCCAGGGCTCGCGTGGGGCTACCTCACACCCCTCCGCCCTGGAGACGGCTCGCACTCTAAGGCTGCTTTGGGTGTTTACCCAACGTTTATTGCTCCTGTAAACAGTGTTAATCACGGTAGTATTAACCTCCCCTGCAGCGCTTCCGAGTGTGCATGGCAGCCCTTGGCTCTCAGCTCGCTCTGCTCTTTACCGTTTCCAGCCCAACAGCAACATCCCGTTCCCTTGGCTTCCCTTGGCCTGGAGCTCGGCTTCCCAGGCTTTGCTTCCGAGGGTAAAGCGCTTGGCTTTCATCCACGGGTTCAAGATTCTTTCCATCCCTGTTACACTTGGGTGAAGATTTCCTTCTTCGCAGCACCTTGTTGAATGTTGTATCTTCTTTATGTTGTGTGAGCCCCAAATACAAGGAAACCAAACCAAATCAAACAGACAAACAACAAAAAATTCTCAGTAAAACCAACCAACCAGCCAAACAAAAACACCCGTTAGGTTTGCCTTTCTGCTTGGGTTTATTGTGACCTCTTTCGGCCTTTCTGGTTCGGGTGGCAGAAGGAAAGGAAGAGAGAAGGTGAAGGGAGAGCTCACTGGATTTGTTTCATTGTCTAGTTAAAATGGATAGTAAGTGGCAACTCACAGCAAATGACAGTTGTGTAGAATTTCAGGCTCCTAACGCAAACACCCGTGCAGTCGTTCTCAGTTCCTTCCTTGCTGTTGTAGACCTTCCCCCTTAGCACAGTGTGCAATTGATGGTCACTTTGAAACTTACTGTTAGTGCTACAACTTTTCCTCCTGACAGCCAGGTATAAGTGCCTGCATTTGCTTCAGTCTTGGATGATTTAGGAGGAGGCATGCTTTACCTCTGTCTCTCAAACCTGTGTCCACAGGCCATTTGTGGCAGCAAGTGACAGCTGTTAATTTTTGTGCCAGGACTAAGGCTGGTGCTCTGGGCCCTGGTACTGCCCCTTAACTTTTTTCCACTCAAAGCTGGTTCTCTACAAACTCAAGCCACAGCTCTACTTCTGCCTTTTTGGTGGTTAATTGGAGATAAGAGTTTCATGAACTTTCTTGCCTAGGCTCACTTTGAACTGATGGCTTCAGAAGTCTTCCGAGTAGCTAGGGTTATGGGCTTGAGCCATTGGTGCCCTGCCCATTCTTTTGAACAAGGTTTTTGGTACTTGGTAGACTAAAACATTTAAGAATTTAACAAATCTTTCACAGTTTTGCACCTGAAAATAAGAACATAATGGAATAATTACTTATAATTTTGGATAATGGTTAACCCATATGAAAATTTAAAAGTTCCTTTTAATGTTCTTATAACATGTGGAAGGTTGATTATACAGTTCATACGTTCACCTCTGCCAGAGAGACTTGTTCTTAACGATTTTTTTTTTTTTTTGGGTCCGGTCATGGGGCCTGAACTCGGGGCCTGGGTGCTGTCCCTCAGCTCTTCAGCTCAAGGCTAGCGCACTACCACTTGAGCCACAGCGCCACTTCCGGCTTTTTTCTTTTTGCTTATGTGGTGCTGAGGAATTGAACCCAAGGCCTCAGGCATGCAAGGCAAGCGCTCTACCACTGAGCCACCTTCCCAGCCCCAAAATGTTTTTTTTTTTTTTTTTTTTTAAAGGTATTGTTGCTGTCTTTTAATAGAATGGACCTATATCTTGACTTGGTCAGAAAAATGTTATAATGAATAGCCTATTATTTATACTTACATAATACAACTATGCTGTATGGCATTCTTTTTGAATATTGTATCATAAAACAATATCTAAAATACTAAATATCAAATAACCTATATTTGAAAATAACAATACTGTGCATTTTTTTTTTTTTGGGTCCAGTTGGGGGGCCTGAACTCGGGGCCTGGGCGCTGTCCCTCAGCTCTTCAGCTCAAGGCTAGCGCTCTACCACTTGAGCCACAGCACCACTTCCGGCTTTTTTCTTTTTGCTTATGTGGTGCTGAGGAATCGAACCCAGGGCCTCAGGCATGCAAGGCAAGCGCTCTACCACTGAGCCACCTTCCCAGCCCCTTGTCTTTGGTTTTAAAGGACTGAATTGTTCAATATTGGCCAACAGGAACCCTAGTTCTGTTATTTGTTTTAATATGTGGATTAATTTAGCTTATCTGCAGATTGTTTGGATCTGTTGATTGTTACATTCCCTGTTCAATGATTAACTTATTTAATTACCATTCAGGTTATTCTTCCTCCTCTTCCCCCTCCTAATTCAGGGTAATCTTACCAGAGCTGTTGTCAGGGCAGAGACTGACTCCTCAATTTAGGACTGGATTCTGCTCTGTCTGAGGTGATAGGGCAGTGTGTTCCCTGAGTACAGAACTCTAATTATTGACATTCTTAAAGAAAAGTTGGCACTACAGGGCAGATTCTTCAACTTTTTGGTATCTGTCCTGGGTCTTGATGTCAGAGCCGAGTGCTGTCCTCCAGCTTCGTTTGCTAAACTAGCACTCTGCCACTTGAGCTACTACTTCTCTACTTTTTGGTAGTTTATTGGAGATAAGAGTCTCTCAGACTTTGCTAACCAGGCTGGCTTTGGACTGTAATCCTTGGATCTCAGCCTCCTGAGAAGCTACGGGCTTTATTTACTTTTGTAGATTCTTCAGTTCTTTAGATTCTAAAGATGCTTCTCACTTGTTGCAAAAGATTAGTATTTTATTTGCAAGCTGCCTGTACTAGCTGAACTCAGGTGCTGAACTTTTCTTCCAGAACCAGATCTGTCTGGGTAGACATATGTATCTCTATTTAGGTTTATGTCTTCTTACCCAGACCATTCCTGAGACCCAGATCTGCACCTTTGTCTTCTCCCCTGTGGATCTCACAGCACTTCAAACTCAGAATATCCCGACTATTCATTATTTCTTCCTCCCAGCCTCCAGCTGTCCTCCAGCTTAGTGAAAGAGTCCTATTGCCAACTGGGAAGCTGTTCTGCATTGTAGTATTGGTATTCTGAACCTCCAGGGTCCAGTAATTTGGCTAGGCCCTGGGGTCTCATGCCTGTAATGTTACCTACTAAAGAGGCTGAGATCTGAGGATCCTGGTTTGAAGCCAGCGTGGGCAGGAAAGTCTGAGAGACTCTTGTCTCCAATTAATGAAGCAAAAAGCTGGAAATGACGCTGTGGATCAAGTGATAGAGGACTAAACTTGAGCGACATGGGTAAAGAACACTGCTGAGGCCCTGAGTTCAAGCCTCTGTACTGTCAAACACACACACACACACACACACACACACACACACACACAATTTGAACATCCATACCCCATGGCCTCAGTACTTCATTAATGTATTACTGGGTTCTGCTTTAGTCTTCAGTGGTTCCTCATACACACTGCCCTCCCGCTCCAAGCCAGCAGACCGATCACATCACTTCCCTGATCTATTCGGTTTCTAATCTCTTCAGATATGGACCCAGATCCTTGACCTGACTCCACTACTGGTCCCACCTCCCTTTCTTCCCAGGTGTGACAGATGTTCCTGTCTCCTCTCCAACCACACTGGCCTCCTCTCTGGAATGGTCTCTGATTCTTTCTGCTAAGTCACAGAGGAAGCTCCCATTTGCCCCTCTCCCCCCCCAATTTTTTTTCAACTTTTTTTTTTTTTTTCCAACTCCTGTCTCACTCCCCTTTTTGACTAATTCTAATTATCTTTGAAGGCTGGGCTCCCATGTCATTTCTTCACGTAAGTCCTCTCAGTACTGGGCAGGTCAGATTCTTCTTCTGCATGTTTTACTCTGTGTTTCTCCTTTGTACATTGGTAGGCCATTGGTATTGTATAATTAATTGATTACATAATTAATGATATACTCCTATATTAATAATTGATTGTAGAATTAATTGCTTAGTGTCTCTCAACTCTATCGGCAATGTAGAGGCTCTGCTTCTTGTTCATAGTCAAATCCCTGTGGCCTGGAGCTGGGCCTTGGAAGTGGCAGGCAGTCAATAAATATTTGCTGAATGGTTACCGCACACAATTGTATACCTCCGATTTGATTATATTTGTGTGATATCTATACCTATGTCCATTTCTATCTATAAGTACTTTCCATTTTCTCTTTAGGTACTGATATTGTCAAGCTGGCCCATTATATAAAGCTGACAGTCTTATAAAGAAGATTTAGGAGAGTCTTTGGATTACACTGAAATTTATAGTCGAGATGGCCAAGTACGGAGAGCATGAAGCCAGGCCTGATGATGGGCAGAATGAATTCAGTGATATCATTAAGTCCAGATCTGGTAAGTACTGGAAGCTAAAGATAACTCTGGATTTTTATGGATGAACAGTTTAGAAGACAGGCTTCTTGGCTGGTTTGGTACTGTTCTTAGAAGGCAAACTTGATTTGACCAACTTAACTCTAACACTTGTTTTCTGAAAGTTAATATAATGTTGGTGAGTGTCATGTCTTCATCTGTCAACATGGTTTTGTCTCCTTGTAGGTTGACTGGCATTGTTTAGTGAAGGCTACTTGTAGCTGAATGTACTAGAAAAGCTGGGCATTTTTCCTTTTGTTTTCTGAAAATGGAGGAGAAAAGTGTGTCTAAAGAAGGGAATACCATAGTTTGTGGCAGGAAAGGATCTTTTCATGGTTTTGTTCTGTTTCTATGTATCTTCCCTGGCTTTCCTTCTTGGTGGCTGGTGCTAGGCTACCAGGCATCCTGTCTTCAATCCTCTTTTTGAAATTTCCTATGAACCTTCTCAAGGGACAGTTTCCCCCTGGGTAATCAAACCAGGCAGCCTTAGACCAATGAGTGGTTTCCATTCAGAAACATTTATACTGGGGAACCTCAGGATACCTTCCCCCCCTACCCTTCCCCCACGTCTTATTATATAACCGAGTGCTTTTTCGATTCTGGCTGCACAAATGAATCAACTGGGGAGTTTTTACAAATGCAGATGCACTGGCTCCTTTCCAAACCTATTGAATACAAATTTCGGTATCTTTGAAAAGCTTCCCATATGATGGTAAGGCTGGCTCAAAGGGGAGATGTTTTTGTGCAAGCAGGGCCTTTCTGAGCTCTGCAAATTACATAGAACTCCAGGCTGGGTGTGAGCACTATACTTAGGTAACTTTCAGAGTTACTTTGAGGTGCAGAATTACCTCCAGGGTCACTTTAAAAACAAAGAACAGAAAGAATCTTAAATTCTGTGTTTTTTGTTTTTCCTACATGAACCATCCATGTAGTTCTGGTGGGAGCTTCTTTCTTATTTGAAACTGTAGAAGTCTGTGCTGAACGTGCAATGGAAATTGCATGTCCTAAGATCCACATTTCCTTCATGACGCTGGGGTGGGCTGGTAAAGAGTTTGGATTTGATATTCTTGGCTGTAAATATGTGTTGCTTGTTATGTAGCTTGAATGATGTTTTGGAGGTTACTGCATATTCTGTGGTTTGTATAGTTGAAAGCATGATCTCCGTGTTCTAGCCTGTAAGCTTCTTTATGTTTTAAGTGTTTTTAGAAGGATGAAGTTCTGCATAAATGTAAAGAATTATTAATATCTTCTTTTTAGCTTTTTTGTTTGTTTTTTTGTTGCTGAGGAGTGTTCCCAGGACATTGCTGGGCAGGCGCGCTCTCTCTCTTGTGCCATACACCCAGCCCATCTATATCTTCTTCTTTTTTTTTGGGGGGGGCCCGGTTGTGGGGCCTGAACTCTGGGCCTGGGCGCTGTCCCTCAGCTCTTCAGCTCAAGATTAGTGCTCTCCCACTTGAGCCACAGCACCACTTCCGGCTTTTTTCATTTTGCTTATGTGGTGCTGAGGAATCGAACCCAGGGCCTCAGGCATGCAAGGCAAGTGCTCTACCACTGAGCCATCTTCCCAACCCCCCATCTATATCTTCTTAAGAGGGCAGGATTTGGAAATACGTAAAAGTGATAGAGGAAAATGAGAGTGAAGCGATCAAATGTCTCTATTTGTCAGTTCTTTGGATTGTGAGCAGGTCTATTCCTAAACAGTTTCCTGAGGCAAACTCCATTGAATTTTGCTATCTATAGTTACTATTTTGGCTACACCCATTGAAGAGTAATTATATAAGTTGCAAAATGCTGGGCCTCTAGGAGGAGTCCTTAAACTTGCTTTGTTGTTGTTGGCACTGAGGTTTGAACTCAGGCTGAGCAACTGTTCCTTATCTTTTCTGCTAAAGGCTGGTGCTCTACCACCTGAGTCACATTTCCACTTCTGAATTGTTAGTGATTGCTTGGAGATAAGAATTTCACAGGCTTTTCTTCCCACACCAGTTTTGAACTATGATCTCAGATTTCAGCATTGACTTTTTTGGGGTGGGGGGGAATGGAAGGGTGGGGGGGAATTACTGGGACTTGAACTCAGGTCCCTTGGATCTTGCTTAGCTTTTTTACTCAAGGTTGATGCTATCTTCAGATCTCAGACTCCTGAGTAGGTAGGATTATGGGCCTGAGCCACCAGTGCCTGACTGAAAATACTCTTTAAATCTATCATTTATAAAGGCTAATAACATTCATAGACTGCTAGTGGACATTTTGGCAAAAATGATTATGGTTTTTGGTGTTAAAGGAGGGTCTCTAATGTATTTTTAACAAGAATATGTGGATTGGCCAAGTAATTCTACTTACAGTTTTCTCCCTCAGGCAGTGCATATCAATGTATATGCAAGAAGTTGAGCACAGCATTATTTATAATAGAAAAATGTGGAAACACCATAAAAAATCCCAAACTAGTCATTGACTGGGTCATAATTTCCCAAAGTATTTTGAAAGGCTCCAAGTTCTAAGACTGTTAATGTATAATTCAAAGAGGGTGTCTCTAAGACATGGTGGGAAACTCACTGAATTTCACCAGAGTTCACTTGTTATATACAATGGCATTGAGGCTGATTAAATTAGAGCTATGCATAAAGTAGATGTTGCATTCATAAGAAGGGATATAGTGGTGTATATGTATTCATGAGCATATATATATATGTAAATGCTGGAATATGTTCTTTGTATGCTGTTCATTTAAAATTATGTGATATATGAAGCCATCTATGTGAAAAAGATCTTAAAAGTTGGAATAGGATATAGACTCCAAAGATCACATTGATTGTCTTGGCGTTTGGGGGGGGTCATTATTTTTCTTTTGTTTATTTTTTTATTCATATGTATTTTCTAGTGCTTTATGATGTACTTGTGTTACTACATTTTATATTTTTAAAGACTCTCAAATTGCCTTTAGTGTCTTAATGCCAAGGTTATGACTGTTATTCTTTTCTTTAATGGCACCTACTTCAAAACACATTGAAAATTTAGCTGTGGCATAGCTGAGATATGAATCACATTCTTTTGGGTGGATTACTTTGCAAAAGCCAGTAGATAAATTTAGATTTGAATGAGCCTGCTAGTCTCCATTTCACATTTAACAAAGCACTTTTTAAAAAAAAATATTTTTTGCCCTTATTAAAGAGCTTACACTGAGGGTGTTTTACTCTCATTTGGCTTTCTTGTAGCTGGCGCCTTACCACTAGAGCCATGCTGGCAGTCCAGCATTTGCTAGTTCATTCAGAAGATCTCAGCTTTCTGAGTAGCTAGGATTACAGGCATAGTTGCTTTTTTAAAAAGTTTATGTTTAAGCCGGGCGCCGGTGGCTCACACCTGTAAACCTGGCTACTCAGGAGGCTGAGATCTGAGTGAGGATCGCAGTTCAAAGCCAGCCCGGGTAGGAAAGTCCGTGAGACTGTTATCTCCAATAAACCAGTAGAAGACCGGAAGTGGCACTGTGGCTCAAGCGGTAGAGTGCTTGCCTTGAGCTAAAAAGCGCAGGGACAGTACCCAAGCCCAGAGTTCAAGCCCCACGACTGACCAAAAAAAAAAAAAAATTATGCTTAGAAACTACTTCCACCATCCATATAAATGCAAATGCATCAAAGGTAAGGAATGGAGCAGTTTCATGAATATAAAACTCACACACAGTTACGGTTGTACTACATTTACCTTTGATGTGAATAAAATCTAGGAAGAAACTATAAAGTATATGGCCTTAAATAATGAAGGATTTGGAATTGGAGTAAAAACATACATCAAGATCATCATGAGTGCAGTATTAATGACCATCGCTACTTAGCAGGCTTCAGAAAACAAGATAGTAAAGGTTTTGAAATTCTGGGCCAAGAGTTATTTTTGTTTTGGGGAGAAAGGATTTATAATGACCACATTTATTTGGCTCTCACCTCTGATGTCTGATGGGGTCATCCCATGGTGCAGGGGGAAAATGGCAAGGTAGGGTGAAGACAAGAAATCACATCTTCAGCCTCTAAACACTTTGAGCCTGAACACCTCCCATCAGGAACCAACTCCCCGAACTGTTGCATCAGAGATTAAGTACTCAACACAGAGAGAGAGAAAAAGAGAGAGAGAGAAAGAGAGAGGGAGAGAGAGACAGAGAGAGAGACACACAGAGAGAGAGAGAGACAGACAGAGAGAGAGAGAGAGAGAGAGAGAGAGAGAGAGAGAGAGAGAGAGAGAGAGAGAGAGAGAGTGTGAAGTATTCAAACCCATAGCAGGGAGGGAAGTCTTATTATTGAAGATGCTTGCTTATGCTCTAGGACTCCTGAGGGTAGGTCATAAATGGAAAGACAGCTTCCACCCTTTCTTCTCTTCAAAGAATAATACTTTTTTAGTGAAATATAGATTACTGCTGGAGTCAGTGATACATGAACTTCTGCTTGGAACATTGCAAAATATGAAATAATAAAAAATGGTTTGAGATGCATATAAATTTAAAGAATATCCGATTACTTTATTCTGTCAGTAATGAATGCATTTGAAAACTAGTTATACACAAGCGTGAGTCAGCCTCTTCTGTGACTCACGGTATTATTGTGGGGAGACTGAGCCCAGAGCCCCTGGAAAAATGTAAATCTTAGGACTAAGGACAGAGTATCAGCTAGCTATAAATGGACATTTTAAAAATGTCTTTCTATATGTCTGTCTGTCTGTCTATCTGTTTGTCTGTCTGTCTGTGTCTATTTATTTTTGTGTTAGTATTGGGGCTGGAACTTAGGGCTTGTCCCTCAGGTTTGGTGCTCAAGGCTAGTGCTCTACCACTTGAGCCATACATCTGCTTCCATCTATTTTTGGTGATTAATTAGAGATAAGAGTCTTATGGACTTTCCTGTCCAGGCTAGCTTCCAACCATGATCCTCAGATCACAGCCCCTTGAGTAGCTAGGATTACAGGTGTGAAATACTGGCTGCCTAGTTTATATTTGGACATTTTTATAGTTT